TCCACTGATCTCAAAAAATATTTTATTCTAGGCGTCGCTCTTTACTGGTCTACACTGTTATGTGTAATCCATATAAATGCAAAAAAGTTTTATTCACTGTCAAACACGCGCATTACAACATTACACAATGACTCTCTTTCCTTTTTTATCTTTCTCAGAAAAACATATCCACTTTTTCACATAGACACTCACAACTAAGGGTGGTGCATTAGAATTAGCATTGGCATTTACTAATACTAATGCTAACGCATTAAGCATTAGCATTAAAAATAACCGTAATGCTTTAGCATTAATGGCATTAGTGTTAAGTAATGCATAGGCGTTAGCATTAAATTAGCATTATTTTTAACACTAATACTTGAATTCAGAACACAGGAGGAAAATTGTTCTGTTTTCAAGAATATGACTCATTGATGACTCATCCGTGAGTCATAGTTCCCAAAAACAGAACAATTTTCCTCCTGTGTTCTGAATTCAAGTATTAGTGTTAAAAATAATGCGAATTTAATGCTAACACCCATGCATTACTTAATACTAATGCTAATTTACCACCCCTATTCACAACACTAAATCTTCAACATAATCGAATCGGAGACAAAGGAGTTCAACATCTGGCTGATGCATTACAACATAACACCGTGATACTCTTTCGCTCTTCATCTTTTCCATATACTTCTCTGCACTTTTTCATACAGACACTCGCCACACTAGATCTCTCTCGATATCAAATTGGAGAGAAACTTGAAAATCTTATACGAAAACTAATTGAGCGAAATAAACAATGAATAAAACCATAGATATTGAAGTTGGTGATGGTTCAGTTAAACAGCTGAAATAATCAGTTAAACGCATGACTAATTAGTTTTTGTATGTGTGGTTGTAACAGTAACAGTATTTTCTTCACTTTTTATCTAAATGTACAAGAATAATTACATAGGTTCATATTTCATTTCAGAGATGAAATAAAAACAGTTTAGCTAGTCTGTGTGCCGACGTGGCTGTTGTGTCTTGAACGAAGAGTCATAATGCTTATAGCGCCACTGCTTGTAGTCATTTTACAGTGGGAAAGAGGCATGTAAACTGTTCTCAGCGTAAGTAAGGCTAAGTGATCTTCAGCTTCAAAGGTTCCATCGAGAGTGTTTGTTTCTTTAATGGATGTTGGTCAACTCATTTGCTGTGAGTGTTGATATTATTTATGCTTCAGCTTCTAATTGTGTGCATTGAATTGTGGAATGATTCCAAGTTATTGAAACATCATTTGTTATTTTTTCAAATATATTTTACTCATATTTGATATGGCTACCGTCTAATGTTGACAAAATTCACCTTCGAACGAGCTACTATAAATTTATAAACATCAGGCATACATGCTCAGCGATTTTATTTTTGTTGAAATTGCTATGATGAGTACTTTATCAACAAAATAAACTTGAATGTATATATTTGTCCAATGTTTCAACATCTTATTGCTATATCCACTATCGGGTTGAGAGTGTGGATGTGGTTGTCGATACGAATTAAATGAACACTCACACCCAGCCACACTCCCATACTCTGTAACAAGAAACTTATTCTTCAAAGAAGAAGAAAAATAGATACTCAGATCTTTATGTAAAGATTTAACAGTTAATAAGATTTGTAAAAAAATGTTTTCCAGTAAACTTCATTATTGACGACATTCTTTACTGTAAAAGTTCATTGAAAAATTTCAAATAATAGGAGAATATTATGGAATATATATGAATAGACATTAAGGAAACACACATTACATAGTACCTGAGCAAAATTAGAAAGATTCTTGAAAGAAAAATAGATGTTTGTATTCTTGGTTATAAATGAGTTTTGACAAAAAGCTTCTCGATACCATTTATCAAAATTAATTTTCACTAGGTGCTTAAGGTAGATTATTGTTGTTTGTCACTTCTTGTGGTTGCTGTTCGAGAAAAGCTTGTTTTTCGAGTTCTTGTCGCAATATTTCGACTGCTTGGAGAGCTGCTTCTCGATTACCTTCGTCAGCAGCATTAAGCATGATATTCGTTATTGCTTCCAAATTTATGTTATAGTCAGCCATTTTCCACCAGTTAAAAGAAGTGAAGCTGTTCAAGTCAATCAGAATAAATATTTATTTATGCCACCAAATAATAACTTACTGTATTCTATTGGAATCTTTGGATAATTTGTAATACGATTTCTTTAAAGTTACATTTTATTTATATATAAGTTTGATACGTATATCGGAAACTTCCATATCGGTAAGAACATAGTGCTTTTGTTATTCGTGTAATAGCTCAAGATTATTGAATGAAACTTGGAACCTTCCAAGATATTCATTTTAGGAATCACTTTCTGATAAACGATACACTTTCGCAAAAGAATCACACAATAGTATAGAAGGTAAAGAAAAGAATATGAACGTCATGAAAAATTTTCCAACTTATCCTTCGACATATGTGCGAATCTTCCTCGTTCCTCATATAGCTGCTAGGAAGTATTATAACTGAATGAGAAAAAGAGCGAAACAAATGACAAGTGTCACCGAATAAATATTTTTTTTTTTAGTTCCTCTGAAGCAATAAGAAACAAAAATGCTTAGTCGTTATTCATGTTATACATTTTTTACAACTGCTGACTATGTATGCGACTGTCATAAGCACGAACGGGTTCTTTTTCACTAGCAGCAAATACTACCGATATAACGGGCATTCTACCGAATAGTCTACACATGGTATTCTATGGTTCAAATCACACGGACCATATACAACAAGCTGAATATGAAAACTGATAAAAAACATTTACAAGTATTTTTTTTTGTTAGATGAGGCTTAGAACAATGAAGGATATTACTTGCAACTGTTTATTATATTTTTTTAATTTTTGAACTTCTTTAATAAAAATATATAGAAATATTGTAAGATAATGACCACCAGTGACCAATCACAAAAGTTACTCCGAGATATTCAAATGGTTCATTTTTAAAATTATTCAGTATTTTTGTCAAACATATTCTAACAGGAAAGTATAAGTAGAATCATTGTCAACACTCCACATCCTTGTATTTTGATTTAATGTAGAAATATGCCCAGACATAAACAATTCTTGCATGACAAGAACTAATAGATTTACAATACTTGTTCATTCATGTTCTTTGTTAGAATATATTGATTTAAAGTTATTTAGTCAATATGAATTGAAGTTAATTAAATTCGAATTAGTGCGTTCAAAATCGCTTACAATGTTAGTGAAATCAGAAACTGATTTAGTATTACAACAAGCATTAAAAATAAATATCAACGAATAAGTCAAGATATTGAACGTGTATCAACACAATTCTAGTCTATATTTGAAGAAAAAGTAAAAAATGAATTCTATTACAATCATGTCGATACATATGTGACTTTTAATTTTGCAGAAAAAATAAACAAAACAGATACTTGACTAATAGTTAGAAATTAAGATTTTTATGCGAATTGTGATATGCTATTTAAAGCAGCGGATCTAAATTGAAGCAAAGGAGAAAAGGCATCAAATTACGACTTCATGTATTTTTTGAATCTCGAGTTTCTTTTATGATTGAAACTCTATTTGTATTAAATCAATTGTAAGAATATACGTTCAAAATTACAAATATAGATATTATATTATTCCGTTACCGTTAAAAGTAGATTGGTACAACATAAGGTTAAAATAGCATAAGTACAGTATAGTGTAGCATCTGTATAAGAGAAATGTGCAGCAAAAATTGTTGGTCAAACATACGAATTCTTATTTTGCAGTATAAACAAATGAGAAAAAGTTAAATAAAAATGCATTTTGATTTTTTTTCTGTAATGCTAAACATCTAAGCTCAACTTTAGATAATGAGTTTAAAAATCCATGAATGTTTCTATCTTATGTATTCTATGTCAAGATTACATAGATAAGTTATCATGCCAAGGTTTCTGAGAAACCGGACATGATAGTTTGCAGCTTCAGAAAACTTCATTGGATCTTTTTTGTAACAATATTATCATGAAGATTAAAAAATTTTGAAAAAAAAATGAAGAGCCGCCGCATTTTTTACGACCTCTCATTAAGAACTTAGAAGAATCATAAAAACCGAAAAAAAAACAATTGTTTTAGTCGACTTTTGAAAAATTTTGTTTTTTATGGTTTGTCATTACCATGATAATTAATCTATGAAATCGTTACATAGACAGAAAACTTCATTAGTTATTAGAATCACTATCAAGATTTGAGCTAGGTGCTTAACATGATAAAAAAAATAAGAAATACGCTGTTATTAAACTTTTACAGTACGCAAAGGTATAGTGAGAATCAGAAAAATGTCGAATAAGACAAATTTTGTGAGATAGGATACAAGCATAACCAGCGGAACGTTTTAAATCTATGGTAGGCTCAAAAACTTTTATAAGACTTTTACTTTTGACTCACATTTTGCACTGTATAAAACTGTTATGGTTTGTAAAAAAAACTCGCAACTTGTTTCAAAAACCGTGTACTGGAGATTTAAAAAGCTTAAAAATTTAAGGGGAAGAAAACTTTTAGTAGTTTGTAGTTGCTCTGACTTGAGTTTCCCATACGATTTTTCTTCACTTCTAATGAAAAAGTATTACTTGAATCAATTGGTATTTTCGGAACCCAACATTTAATCGTACGAAATTTAATGTTTCCTTGATAAAGTTTTCTAAGTCTGTTTCAATATGAAAATGTTACTCTTTGCCGTCGAAAGCAGTGAACAATTTTGATGTTTGTACAAAAATTTCGATCTACTGCATAAATCATACGGTTAACTAATAGCAATCATAACTATTGTATTAAGTAATAAGTATAAGAGCGATTTGGAAACTTTTAGTTCAAGTTGTTTTTATTATTTAAAAACAAAATGTTCTTGATTACAATAAAAAATTATATTTAAAACAAAAAGCTATTTAACAAGTGTGCATGAGACAGTTCCGAATGAGCCTTCAGGAAGTCAATTCTTATAATGTTAAACATTTGAATTAACCTAATACAGGTAGATTATTAAGTTTTTCATGAACTTGAAGAACCTCGTAGTCCAAATTATTAGATGACGGATTTTGCCTTGACCAATTTCGTTGATCACCAACCGTTGTCGATGAACTGAAAAACAAAATTTATGAAATATTAATTAAATAATAATATTTATAATGATATCTTATTCATCATCATCATTATAAAATAAATCTCTTGCATTTAATGCAGATAAATCAGCTTGATGGACTACTGATGGAATAGCTTCAACCAGAGATGTCCATTGCGGCTCGAAATCTGCCGCTACCGCGCAGCGATGATTTTTTAAAAAAATTTCTACTCCCGCGCCGCGATGAATTTCCAAAAAGTCTGGCGCTGCCGCGATGGTACTCGAAAAAAAGTTTCGAATTTCATTGCTGTGAATGTATTGAAATACAATTCTTGTCACTAATCGATGAGATTCATTGAGTCTTAGAGTGTTACGTTTGTGGACACTCAATTTTTGGCAAATTCATGAAGTTTTGGCAATATCTTCTAAAAGGAGCCTGCCGCTGACGCGATGATATTTTCAAATTTCTCCCGCGCCGTTACCCGCCACCGCGATCGCGGCGCGATGGACATCTCTGGCTTCAACAGACGATAATCGAGGATCTGTAAAACATAAATGAAATGTTAATAATTGTAATTCACTAGTTGTCAAGCCGATATCATTCAAAAGAACATGATAATGTGGTGGTCGATTAACACCTTGATAAGTCGTATGGGGATTTAAATAAAAATTATTTTGATTCTGTTGAACAATTATTGTGTCAATAACAGCATCAATTGACATGTTATCAGTTTTTTTCGGAATTCTTTTTCGTTTTGGAAAAAATTCTGCTATTTTGTTGTATATGATTCGGATTATAAGTAAAAAAAACCGTGTATTACGACGCATTTGAACAACAATAATAGTAAGAAGTGTATGTTTCGTTGAATCACCATAGATATCTAATACAAAATATTTTATATTCAATATGAACAAAGAAGGGTAGGGTGTGGGTGTGGGTATCGATGTAGGCGTGAGTGTGGGTGTCCGTGTGGGCCTGGGTGTGAGTGTTGGTGTGAGGATGTCTGGTAGTAGAAGAGCACCCCACCCACACCCACATCCTATGTTTTTGTCACTGACTGTGCATTCGATTAAATGAAGCATAACTGAACATTTGGTTTTCTGTTGTTTAATCGATGTTTTACTTTATTCAACACCTGACATACGGAAGCAGTTTACATCGACAGAAAAATTCGTTTTTGCAAGCCATCGTGTACTAACTCGATAAACAATAAGATTAAGGTGGATATTTGAAGTTTTATTGCTCACAAAATATTGTAAATGATTAATGCGCTACAATCGTTATATTAATTAAGCAAACCTTTCTGTGTTGATAAGTTTGAAGACTAATAGATATGCTAATGTTTGCAGTCCTAAATTGAATAAGCTATTTGTACGTGTTTATTGATACATTGACAAGATTTAACTGATAGTTGACTGATTATCATTTTAAACAGTTCTCAGAAAGTAAAGCATCAAGCGAGTACAATGCGAAAACGTCTTTAAAAAGATATTAGCCAGTCACTCTTGTTAGTTCTTTTTTATCTATGTCATGAAAGTTTATCGATTTCAAATAATTAGCAGAATGAATGCTAGTCAGTGGGTGAGTCAGATTTCTCTATTTGTGCATCATATTTTTTATTCATTCTTCTCTATGAATTTTATTTGTCATATTGTTTTT